GAATCCAAAGTTTGGCTAACAGATGGACCGTCCTCTCTAGTACTCTGGCATAGAGCTTCCTAGGGAGGCTGAGGAGTGTTATCCTTGTGTAGTTGGAGCACACCCTCCAGTTCCTCTTCTTAAGGATGACGATCACTACTCCAGTCTTCCACAGGCACTGCTCAAGATGTCCACCTGATATTGCAGTGGCGTGTCGGCTAACACGGCCCTGTAACACCCAAGGTCTTAAGGAACAGGGTGACTCTACACTCCGGGGGCTCACCCACCCAGAGGTTATAGAGTGATAGCAGAGTTGCCCCTGTACTACACAGTTTGTGAGTAGAGCACTGCTTTGCCTTGAGTCAGTTTTGGCAGATGGAAAGTCTTGTTCAATGGGCTCACCAAACTTTTCCTACAAAAGTTTTTAGATCAGCTGCTGCAAAAACCGCATTTTGCTCGGCCTGCCTTCAAGTTGATGGCTCCACTGTCTACAGTCTGCTTATCGGACAGCACAACAGTATCCGAACACTTTGCAGCGCCTCCTTCAACAATGAGGGTGTGAAACATTAATGTATTATGGCCTGACTGATTAATGGATTGATTGTTATATAGCTTTATACAACATGCCACAACATTTAGTGCTTTCTAACTAACACATACTTAGCGTTAGCATCTTGCCCAAGCATATTTGGCATGCAGGGGAGCCAGGGATCGAACCACCAACCTTCCAGTCAGCCTGCTGAGCCTGATGACCTGCTCTACCTCCTGAGCTACAGCCAGCTCATTGGGATGATGTCAAAGTTCTACTGGAGGTGGAAATTGAGATGAGAGCCTGGGAGACTCCCAGAACACCCTCACGATACGTTTGGGTGCGCCAGACCTAATTAGCATTCTCCTCCGCCACCTGTTCCATCACATCACTGGGTAGTGATCAGTTGGCAACATGTAACAACAATAACTGAACACCACTTGGGTTCAACTCAATCTGGCCATTCATCCTAATGCCCTTACAGGTCTCACTGTCGGTGTGTAGGTGAGCATTGATGTCTCTTAGTAGGACAATGACATCAGGTGGAGCACCCTCCAGCACCACACCCAGCAACTCCAAGTAGGCTGGGCACTCTGAACTGTTGTTCAGTCCATAACTGCTGATGACGAGGGGTATGCATGCTTCTCTCAGGCAAATTTGAAAAGAAATTAAAGAAGCCACTTCTTGTTCATAGCTGTTTGCGTGTGCATCTGCAAGCCAGTATAATCATTACCTCATGTGTAGGTATGTGATTAAAAAAGATGTGAGTTCATAAAAATCCTAAGGATTATAACTTCAAACTTGTTTCACTTTTTTAAATTCATGTAGTTTTTTTCATTCAGTATAATTCATTACTACAACTATAATTATGTGTTCTGTTACCTGCTCTTTTAAAGTGTCATTTCCTCAGTTTTCCAAAGTACACAGTTGATCTGCTCTCTAACTTGAAGTGCTTCTCTCCCTTTGCTGATTCTCTCATGTCTCCATCATCCATCCATCCATCCAAATGTCTGTTGGCCCATCTGTCCATCGGGATGCATGCAGACTTGGAGATGGAGAGTGTAATACAGGACAGTGCATGGGTGGCCGACCCGCTAAACCACTACAGCATAAGTTCAGGTAGACCAAAAAAAGCAATCAAAAACCCCCTTGGTGTGTTGCACCACCACCACCTGCTAACCAGAAATTAACTCTTCTCCCTGAGTGATGTGTTTGCACTGTGTCGCCTTGTTAGGACTAGTCTGTGTGCCTGTCTCAGTACACTTGTTAACACATGCTGTTATTTCTTGTGCACTTTTTTGGTGTTGCTCTTTTAAACCTTTTCTTTGACCTTTAACAGTCTTTCCTCCACACTCTGATGGTGCACCATCTGATTGTATATTACCAGTAAAGCCACAATAGTGTGGAAGTGTGTAGGTTTTTGCAGTGTTTGTTTATAGTTTTCTTCACTTGACTCGGCACATTATTATCTTTGTTTTGAAAACATCTGTCAAATGCAAATAACTCATGTTTCCATTTAAATTTGTTACACTTCTTTCACTCCAAAGTCGTTATTACTATGTGGATATTTTATGGGTGTGTTTAAATATGTCACATTGTATCATCTGTCTGTAAAAGAACATACCTTTGCTTAATATATTTAAGTTTCGCAAATAGATTTGGGGGGTAAGTGAACAGTCTTCCCCCTCCAGCCCCTGTTCTTTTCACTGCCGTGGCCTCTTTAGGTGTATGTAAATCAGTCTAGGGGTGAGCCAGGTTCATTGTTGCTGAATATCCTGTCTGGATGAGGGCCAGCTGTTTGTGTGTGTCTGTTTGGTCAAAGCTGTAGGGCCATGGCAGGGGTACCGTGGTGCTAGGTCCCAGCCAGCCTTGATTTATTTAATCCTTTCACAATGTGAAGGCCTGTAAACCCATCCATTGAGCTTTAAGCTTTGTCCTGCAACAGTAAGAATCTGTCTCCTTCTCCATGGTGACTGAAAGAGCACATTCCTGCAGGGAGCCACACAACATTGGAAAAATATGCCTCCGCTGCCCAGATCAACGCAGTTCACCACTAACCTTTGCCGCTTCCCAGTAAAATGATGGAAATTGTTAACACGCTGTGCTGTTCCAGTTAAAATAAAGACCATACAAGCTAGGAGCTATTAATCCCTCATACCGTGTGCTCGCCCTGTGTTGCAGTGGAAACTGGGATCAAACTACTAGCTTCATGGTAAAGGGGGAAAAAAGTTGTGAACTTTCAATAAACAAGAAAGGTTCGACTTCTTTTCTCCCCAGACAACCCATAAGACCTACCAGTTTCTGGCCCAGATGCACCCCCCATCCCCCTCCTCAGTGCAGGCTTCATCATGTCTGGGGACCAGTGATTTGGGCAGCTGTGAGCATATATGAGCCAAGACAGCTGCTTATGTGAGGGAAATGAGGAGAGAATGTGTGGGACAGAGTTAGATTTGTCTCCTGTTCCAAAGGATCTCAGATCATTTCCTGGTGCTGTGAGACAGTCCAAGGTCTGCGTAATGTGTTTATCTGCAGCGTCAATGAGACACTGTTGCTGTAAACTGCACCTATGTATGGGTGGTGCCTTGGATTACTCAGGTTATGCTGTAAACTGACTGTGTGTGTAAGGAAGGTCATTGCATCAGTGACACAGAAAACATTTGCTAATAGAGATCCTCACTTGTTAGACTTCTTTCACGCTTCAGTGCACTGCAACATTATTTTGACACACACAAGCCTCATTAAAGAAATACATGTCTCATGATAACTGTGCGACTAAAAAACATTGAGCCATGTATCCAAACTGTAAGAATTAATATTTACTACCGTGTTCATGTTTCAGACAGCACGGTGTTCTTCTCCTGTCCAGTTAACTTGGCATCCTTGTACTTCTGGCATTCCAGAAGTCAAATGGATTATTCATGTCCATGCAAAATACCAGCTGTGTGATGCTTAATGCAGCACAAAGTTCTCATTCTGTTATATGGTACAAGATAGCAGGGCAGGAATTTACTACTTCCTGTCTGCAAGATCTATGAGGAGACAGATAAGCTGAAGTCTCAGTTGAGTTGTACATATTAAGTGAAAGTTCTTCATGTGTAATGTAAATATTTTTACTTTCTCATCCCATTTTAAGCTGTTTGGTGATTAAAGTGCCTTTTAAAACGCATACGTTGGAAGTGGAAGACACAAACTGAACAGCTCATTTGAGCCAGCTTTTAATAGCCTGGAAGGTTCAGGTGAGCTGCATTTGCTGAAGACCCCCCCATGTCATCCAGTTATTACTAAGACTACACCAAGACTTCCTTCCTTCCATATAAAATAAAAGTATTACAAATTTCCTTTTTAAAATCTATGAACTGCGTTTTCTGAATCTCACTGCATGTGTGGCTACTGCTCTGTAGGTGTTCTGTCATGTGTTTTGTCCTAAAGGTCAAAGCTCCATGCTCACTGTGTCTTGTTTATTCAGCCCCGTGGCTTCTATCAGAGGTCCTTCTCGTAGGAAGTTCAGAAAGAAAGTGGTAAAGGCCTCTGCTCTGTACGTAAGAGGTTGCAAAACTAAAAGTTCTGCAGAAAAAAGTTCCTCCAGTAATTTTAAACTGATAATACTGATGAGTATACAGAATGCCACTGCTAAATTTGAATGATTTAAAGTAGGTAAACAACATAAAATAGTGTTAAATAGTGTAAGGTAGTGTTGGCTCTCACCATGGGCTATCAGCTTCTCATGACACTTTGTTGGAGATGCTCAGAAAAACTCAAACATCTGATACACGACATTAGAAGCTACTGTATCGTTTTAAAGCTCAGCAGATGAGTAACGTCCCTCTGAACTGTTGTGTGCAGGCGTGTTCATAAGGGGAAAAAACAAATGAATGGGAATGCATTGCAAAGAACTTTTGTATACTTCAGTTCAGGACTTGAGTGAACGTACTGTAATTATCCAAGGAAATGTGTCTGTAATTCATTAAATATGCATCAGCTTAAAGCAGTCACGTGCAGTGAATCGGGCTGCCTGGAGTCGTGTGATCCTGGGTTAGCAACAGTTAGTTAAATAATAGTTTTATTTTGACTCCGAGTGTTTGTTTGCTGAGGGACTGAGCTAGTTAATGAAAAAACAAGATAATGCTTTCAGGGGGTCTTTAGAGGGCAGAGTTGACATAACGTCATGGCTAAGCTAAATACTTACAGGTTTTTTTAACCACACTTAAAGTGTTTGAGTGTCTTTTTGAGGTCAGTCGGCCAGAGGCACAGGGCGAGTCGGTCTTGAGTGTCTGGTTTGATTGTGTCAGGCTGAGAGGTCTCTGAAATGATCCTGGTGGGAAAGAGGGGGTAAGTCATTTTGGAATTTGCTTCAGCTCAACCATTTATGTACCAGCATAGTCTCTCAAATGCACCCAATCCACCCTCAGTAAAAAGAAAACGACAACAAAACTTATTTCCGGGTTTTTTGGTTTTTGTTTTTTTAAATTACCTTTGAAGGTCTTGAATATTACGAAGAATAAAACTAGGGATGCTGCTTGTTAGGAGTGTGTCGTATGAAGTAGCATTTTCCACTGTGCAAGCACCTCTTGCCTGCTTTGACGCCGGTGTTGCCTTCAATGCTGTTACAATTATTGGGTATTTAGCGCAGTTCAAAGGCAGTATTTAAGGGAAATTGACTTTAAGGCTTTAGTAGAGATGGCTACAAACACCTACGTGACATGACGTCTAATCATTCATCAAAGTAGCTTAATCCTTTGTTTCAAGTTAACAAAATTAACTGTCGCTGACCTTCAATCGAAGTTTAAAATTGACAGTGTTGATTTTGCTAAAATTGACCCCCCCAATAATCAGTATAGATAATCTACAGACCTTTGAGTTTAATGTATAAGCTAAACGTTGTTATGACTAACGCTGGCATATTAACTTCGGTAATACTCGCACATTGGTTATTTTTGTCCGGAACAACCGGTAAAAGCTACGAAAGCCCATGTGTCCGGGAGCATTTGAAGGCATCAGCGGCGTGGTTGTAAACCGATAGGCTGCAGCTGTATTCGGACTCTGACAGAGCGAGAAAATAAAGTCTGCGGTGTTTAATTGCTCTCCAGCCTTAAACTTTAAACTTTTAATGTCTTGGTTGACGAGACCTTAGAGGACTTTAGAGGAGTTTTCATCGTCGTTTTGTACAGGTGCGACTTTAGCGAAAGAAAAAGCCAAGTTGTACTTTGGACTTTGGAAAAACTGTCATAACGCTTCTAGGCAGCTCCAGTAATATGGAACAGAGGTAAGGAAATGCGTTTGATTTGTTTCGAGTTCACATTATGGAGCTAACCTTTATTCGGAAACTTTCGGGGTTTCCTCTCGTTTTTATATAGATTAAGGGATTTGGATGACGTAAGGCTAATCCTGGGTTTTAAAGAAATTAGGGGAAATATGTTGTGCTGTATGACTCCGTATTTTTCCAGTTCCTCTCTCTTAAATTGTGTTAGGTGTGTTAGGTTCTAGTAACGTATAATTACATAGTAAATGTTCGTGTAATGTCATCTTATAGCTCTGAACTTGCACTTCAGGGAAGCTTTGCGTCAGCGTTTGAAATATGTGGTTTATAGGATGTAGACGTGTTATCTGGTTAAACATTTAGCGGCGGATGATTACTCAGAACCAAAGACGGCTCAGTCCTCTATCGCTGGGATTTGAATATACACGGAGCGAGCACTTTATTAGCAACACGTGTGCAGTTTACACCAATGCAGCTTTGTCATAAATTCAGTTTTGCAAAGTTCCGACACTTTCAGATATTATTCATCATATATCATCGTTGACATGTTTAGTGGTGGTGTAGTGAGCTGTATAATGCTGGAAACTGTGCGTATAATTCTAAAGCAGGATTAGAAAAATAAACGTTTGAAATTAGCGTTTTATAAACGTGTGAAGAAATCGGAGCATTTAATAATTAAAAAAAATAAATAAAAAAATAAAGAAAAGATTGGGTACAATATTCGGGCAGCCCTGAGCAAACATACAGATATATTACAAACTCTGGCTGCAAATATAGAATAAAAACACTTTCTGTCAGTCAGAACATACAGCAGCATGTATTCATGTAAGAATATCAGATGTTTGCCTATATACATTATTATTAAGGACAAACTGCACAGAATGTTAGGAAATAAATACATTGAATTTACTTATTTATTTTATTTATTTTTGGGTTGAAACAATAATTGCTTGGCCAAACAGAACCCAGCTAAATCCACCCCTCTGTTCCCTCTTCCCTCCCCATGAGATGAAACAATGAGGCATTTTGCTCCTGATACCATTGCACACTTCTGTCCAAAAGGGTCACTATCACTCACCATTGCCTTGTAATAGGCACAGATTGCTCTGTTGTGCACAGTGAACACGCATGCAGAAACACCAACATGTGTAAGCGCAGCATCTTCTACTGTTATGTCGTATTAGTTTTACAAGTAATGCAGACATTTTCTCTGCAGTAGTTGCCTTTCAGTGGACAAATGTCCCTTTTTCATACAGTTAATGTAATTTTCTGTCAGTTCCTCCTAGTATAATACGAACTTTTCAAGACACAATGAAAGCAGTGTGTGTGTTTGTATTTTCTGGCGCTGCTGTGATGAGTTGGTGCACAGTGCTAACTTGGAAATTCGCAGACGTTTACAGATACTTTTGGTGGCCTGTGAAGATTTGACTTTAAGATGAATACACTAATATGTAAACCAATATATTTTTGGCACATCTGTGAAGCAAATTTCAGCTGGAAACTTTATTCTCAGAGCACGTAGATGTTTGAATCGGATGATCTACACGGAGTGCTAAAGAGGAGGGGCCAGTGTCTGAATTCCCCACCATTCCACTCTCTCGGGGATCCTAGCTAACGTAATAATAGCATCCTGACGCCCCAGTGAGCTGTATCCACACTTGTCAATGGTTGTGTATCCAGTGAACATTAATACAGAGTTGTTGTAATAAATGTCTCAGGCTTGAGTGTGCTGCCGGGCTCTGCTCTGCCTCTGGAAGCAGTAGCACTCCAGCATTGCTCTGAAGCTCCCAATCTGTGTCCTGTGAAAAGCTCCCTGCTAATTAAAAGGAATGAGGTGGTCTGTTTTGGGTTTGAGAGCGTTAAGGAAGCTTGATGTTTGCTATTATGTTGCTAATTGTTCCTACAATTATGCTCAGCCTCCTTTTTTGCCTGGTCCAGCCTGTCACAGCCTGTCTCTTGGGGAAAGGGCTCGTCACAGTTACAGTCTGTTAAGGGCAGTAACTGAAACCTGTCAGTCACCCTGGGACATTATAACCATCCTCTTCTGTGTTTAGCTTTGTCATATCTGTTGTGGAAGCAAGATTCAGTCATGGACTCTCGTGATTTCTTCGTGTCAGT